TATACAGCAGAAAGAGAATCATTTAATATGACATGAAATATCTTGCTTTATTTACTCCCTATCCCATTGTCCCGATCGGGCTTCTTCTCGAGTATCCCATACCACGAGATTTTCAAATTTCAAACCACTACACAACTTACCTCATCATTCTTAAGTATGGTATTCTTTAGGACATGTTGTTAATCCTAACCTCAGGAGCCAAGGAAGAAGGGAATGGTCCACCATTCAACACCCAGGGGACATAAAGAGGTATATACTAAATTCATTTGCCATTATTGCAAATGCCCCGTCCCGCCCAGGCCCCCCCAGACAGCCATATGCCTCGCGGCAGGCCCTGCACGCATAGCCGCTGTCGCCGAGCGCTGGGGCCGGCTGGCGCTGCCGCAGCTGGCAAGAACAGCATCTTCACACGCAGGCTTGGTCCCCGGGCCCTGCTGTCCCTTAGAGCCGGGGCGGGGCAGGGACAGCCTGTTCTGTGGGCCAGGGCTGCAGGAGCTGCCCCGGGGCCACCAGGCCCTAATGGGTTCCTGCTGCTCTGGCTGGCCCGCTCCGCCCGGGAGTGTCTGCCGGGCAGTGGAAGCCACGCCGGCTCGTGTGCTGGGGACCCGTGGCTGTCTCCATGGACGGCCAGACTGCTTCTCCCGCCGTGTCACATCTGTGACCTGTGGTCACATCTGTGTCTTGTGGCCACAGCCTAGAAGAGGGACTTCTCGTCTGACCACGCAGCTGAGCCCGTGCAGCCCCCAGCCCTGAGTTCCCCTCAGTCAACTCCCGGCAGCCCCTGAATCTCGGGGCCTTGGTCCTGGCCCCATCACCCCTCCTGGGTGCCTGAAGGGCCCCTCTCCCAGCCCCTGCCTGCAGCCCAAGCACAGACTCCCTCGCCTCCACCCATTCCTGCTGAGACCCTCCCCTCCCTCCGGGCTGAGGGTCATGGGGGACGCGGCCTCTGGCTCCACGGCTGCCCCTACACTGCACCTGCGGCTGCACTGCCCACCGTGCCCCTCCCTGCTCTCGCTGGCCGGCACGGCCACCGGCCTCCTGCACACACGCCAAGCCAGTCTGGGCACCCCGTCCTGCCTGCGACGCCCTCCCTGCTCCTGTTCGGCCTCCAGGCCCCTCGCAGCCCCGACTCCCTGCAGTGGGCTGGCAGGGCCCCTCCGCTCACAGCCCCGCACCCTGGGGTTGGCGCGAGCGGCCAGCGGGCCTCTCACATGGAGGGCGGCACGAGGGCCGCAGCCAGGCCCATGCCGGGCTCAGGTGCAGCCCTCCCACCTGCTGGGCCGGGGTTTTGTGTGGATGGATGAGTGGCTTCATGACACGAGGGGGCCTGGCGTTCCCTGTGTGCCCGAGTGAGTGAGCGAGCCCACGGTCACGGGCAAGCAGCCACTATGACCGTGACGCGAGGGGTCCACACGCGTGGTTTTGGGGTGAGCCACGCTGCTGCTTCGGCCGCTCTGCCGTCTGTGACCAGGTCACTGCTCAGACCTGTTTGCCTGCCGTGGTCCCGCCTGTGCCTGCTGGGTTGGTTGGTTGGTTTATAACAAGGATTAGTGACTGCTGTTTGTTTATTTTTAAGATTTATTTATGGGACTGGCACTGTGGCATAGTGGGCTAAGCCTCTGCCTGCAGTGCCGGCATCCATATGGGAGCCAGTTCATGTCCCAGCTGCTCCTCTTCCCATCCAGCTCTCTGCTGTGGCCTGGGAAAGCAGTAGAAGATGGCCCAAGTGCTTGGGCCCCTGCACCCGCGTGGGAGACCCGGAAGAGGCTCCTGGCTCCTGGCTTCAGACTGGCGCAGCTCTGGCCGTTGTGGTCATTTGAGGAATGAACCAGCGGATGGAAGACCTCTCTCTCTCTCTGTAGCTTTACTTCTCAAATAAATAAATAAATCATTTTTAAAAACCCATTAAATTAATAAAAGATTTATTTGGAAGGCAGAGTTACAGAGGGAGAGAGGTCTTCCATCTGCTAGTTCACTCCCCAAATGGCCACAACGGCTGGAGCCAGGCTGGTCCAAAGCCAGGAGCCAGGAGCTTCTTCCAGGTCTCTTACGCAGGTGCAGGGGCCCAAGCGCTTGGGCCATCTTCTACTGCTTTCCCTGGCCATTACAAGAGAACTGTATGTAAAAGTGGAGGACGCTGGGCATCTACGCTACCTTCAAGTGAAATGCCCTCCGCGCAGTAGGGGATTTAGCTG